CGAGGTCCGCCTCCGGTTGGCGAGGTGCCCGTGGAGCTGCTATATTAGACTTGTAAATGAAAGTTACAGGTATTCCCAGTTAAATGCGAGAAGGCATTGAGGCTATCATGCGTTTCTGGGTATGCAGGCACAGTTCAGGGTGCTTCAGAACAATGTTGGAATTGAGGGTCAAGGGATTCAGGATTCAGAGTTTGGGTCTAGCAGGCTAGGGTTTGGGGTTCAGAGAAAAATCCTTTGTCAATGCAAAACGGGGTTGCTCCAAACCTCCAACTAAGGTGGATTCTAGCATTGCGCCTTATGGGGTCTACGAGGTGCCATCCGGAGGTAAGAAGCTGTATTAAGCTTCGATTTCGACAGCTGGGAAGCTTTATCCTTTAAGGAGGCCAGGGTTATCAGGTTCAGGGTTAGGGGTTGAGGGCTTNNAAAAAAAAAAAAAAAACAAGGAAAGGGTTGGGCGGATGGATGGCCTTGTGAGTTTTCAGTGTTGTTGGTCAGGGCTCAGGGCTTGGAATCCTGCAATCAGAGTTCCTTTACCAAGGATTCTGAGGGAGACTGTGCCCGTCAGTCTCCTAAAGTGAGTGGATGTATAGTTTTGCTTCAGTCCCACAGCATTACGCCTCCCTCCTCCTAGATTTAGACACTTTCCATTTTGCATCCAGAAACAGACTCCTCCCGATGTGTAGTTGATATGAAGATACGCGCAAAGAATATGCATTCCAGGGTCAGACACCTTCAAGTCCATAGGCAGTGTAGTGCAGAATTGTTAGAAGTAAATCTGATGCCCCCTGGGATGTAAAGTTAGGACGTAAATTTGGTTAAGGGTTCTGCTTGCTACGCTAACGCCTTGCGACCTGCATGCAGGTGCATCTCAGCCTGCATGCTGAACTTGACAACCTAAGGTCGATAGATACATTAGGATCAGGAAGACGATAAGTTGAGGGTCCCGCATTCCTGAATTTGAAGGTATTCTTCAAACGTTCCCTATGGCGGACCCCGGAAAGGGGACCATGTTTTTGCCAAGCTCCTATATCTGTGCTAACAGTCAACCATCGAAGCCGCTTGGCTTGAAGCAGCTATGGGACAAGCCCATGGATCTGGGAGGCCCACAGCACTTTGGGATCTGCTGGAATGCCCCCTTTTTTGAGCAACCCTAAATCAGACTGTAATACTCTGAATCCTCTGCTATCCGTATGATCATACTGTCTGCCTCCTTTCCCTATCAGGCCGCCTGTAGTTGTACTTGTACTTAGTTGGCAGCCGCCCATTCCAGCCGTGTTGTCCTGGATTTGGGGGGCCTTATGCGCCTTTCGAAGTTCGAGACCCAGATGCCTAAGTGTTGATGGTGTAGTTTTTGCTCGCATTGTCGCGTCCAACCAAGAGCACTGGGAATTCAAGGTGTACTGAGAAATCTCTATTTTGGGGTAGTCCATGTATGAGGGACGTGAATAGAAGCAGCCACAGGAAGGTGAATGGCATTGCCACTTCCAGGATCATATGCTGCTAGCATCACAAGCTTTGTTTAGCGCTAAATGTGGAAGGGTCGCAAAACTGTGGTATGGAGTCCTTAAACAGGGATCCCCATGGTTGCGTTGTAAGCCCCACGGTTACCCTAACCATGAAGCATAGTTGGGCAGATGTGCTCTTGGGGGCTGCATTTTTCAGAGGGCTTCAGACATGACGAGTACACGATACGTAGAAGGATGGGGGTGAGAGATGCAGTCCATTAGATTAGGACTCAAATTCACAGAATCCTGCATGCTGATCCCAGCATGTGACCTCTATGCCGCTTAACCCCTATGCGCATGACCTTCGTGTTGTCATCCCTATATGTCTCCAGGATCTAATTCGCCAGCTTTGCAAAGCCCCAGATGAGGAGACCATGGCGAGAGTAAGAGCGAGGTGGGAGGAGGAGAGTCCTATTGATGAAGGTCAGAGTTCTTGGATCCAAACCCTCTTCCCCAATGCACAGATATTTGAAGCAAATCAAGTTCAGTCTTGCGAACTCCACTGTGGCATCGGGCATGTGTGGCTTCATCCGCGTGTGCATTCCATCGATGCGGGCTATGATGGGAGTTTTTGAGGATCCTGCAAAACCTGTGACAGGCGTTCGCATGGTTATGCCAGCTTCCCGCTCTCAGAGGCGGTCTTTGGGGGCGATGAGGAGGTGCAGCATGCTGTTGATTGCACCCATTCTTTACAGCTAGGTGTTTATGATTTCCCTGGCATAGATACCATGTTGATTCATGATTATTGCTTCTCATGTGTCGCATTACCATCATTATCAGACCCAGCTTGGAGATTAAAGAAGAGCCTCAAGCAGAGACGGGAAGTACCCAACCTCACATTTAGGCACGTTGATGATGCACCCTCAACACTGCAACCAAACCCACCAGAAAGTCTTGAAACTAATTTCGATACACAAATACTCTTTCGAGGGAATTTGAGCCCAGAAGCCGCGTCGAATGGGATTTTCTGACAACGGGTCCGCCTTGATACCCGCAACTTCAAGTGCTACTTCCAGAACATGCTAAGCCTTTGAGCAGCATGAGGTCCCACCAATGCCTTACTCGCCACGGGATGAGGGCTCTCAGCGAGATGCGCGTGTACCCAGCCGTTGCTTGGCGTTTTTGCGATAAAGATTTCTCAAACATAAGGGCAGCAGTAAAGGGATTGTGGTCTGCTGGAGGTGCATCAGGGGACCCCGGTTTGCTGGACAAGTGCAGGTGCCTGCTGTTGTCATTTGCCGGGAAGGGAGCTTCCAGGCATCTCAGGGTTGGGCAGTTACTCGTTTACTTGCACTGGGGTTTGTGGATTTATTTAGGGCCTGGCAGCACGGGCCGGCCTGGCCGCAACCCTAAGCCCAAAGCACCACGCCTAAGTGAGTGCTGTAGGGCTGTTAGATCTGCTTTATTCCCTAGCTGAAGGTAAAATGGAGACCCAGTAGTGCAGCGGATGTTTCTGTTTGAGGCGCACGCGCGCCTCGTACAGAAACATCATCAGCACAAGTGGGACCCCACTTTATCTTAATGGAGACCAGGGGGGGTCAAAAAACCAAGAAAAGCCATCCAAAACGGCATTGGACATAGTTCTCTGCACAGATCCTATCAACACTGGTATTTACAGCCACAAACATTGCCCACAACGTGTTTTTGAGCATTTTGTTGGGGCTTATAGTGCATTTTGAGCGCCCAGCAGCCCCCCAAGAGCCAGCATCATGAGCATCATGGGGCCTGTGTGGGCCCCCACTTTCCTTCTTGACATCACACCTATGAGGGTCCAACACTCCTCCAAAACCCTAGGTATTTTGAGGTGTCCAAAAATGAGAAACGAAGGCCCAATTGTGCTGATGATGCTGGCACCCCAAAAAGTGCCCTGATCCCTCCGCAGCGTGGGGGGAAGCCTCAAAAACGCAGCACAAAATCATCTTAATTTTTGACCCCCCAAAAACACGACTCCAGGGCTTCCAAGGGAGGGGGTCGGCGGTTGGGGCGTCCACCCCTTAAAGCATAGCTTTAGCTAGGCGTGCATCCGCACTGGACCACCAGGCCGGACTTAAGAGCCTCCGGCTCAGTCCGCCGACCCAGAGGCGGAGAAATCGCGAAAGCCTAAACCCTAAACCTTGAGGGTTTTCAGCGGCTGGCACGAGAGCAATAGGCGCAACAAGATTAGTCCAAGCTAGGCTGCCGGGACTGAGCAGTTTTGCGGTCTTCAGTTGCTGCGCAGGAAACCATTCGGCGCAAGAAGCCATGTTACGGGGAGTGTGCAGGACCAACAGCGTGGGTGGGCACCCTGATCAGCATGCTCACCCTGCTAGGGGTTTGGGACCCGGCCCCAGGGGTCTAGGCCCGGGCCCTCACGCGTGGGAGTCGGCTGAGCCTCGGAGGTGGGACCTGGAGGGAAACGGACCCGCGATACTCCCCCCAGCGTTCACGTTTGCTGTAATGGAGAAAAGAAGAGGGTTTCACCTTCTCCGTCTACTGAAACCATCCAACGCGCCCCCAAGGTTGGCGGACATGCTGTCTTAACAGGGCTATAGGTGCTATACCGTTTGTTAGAAACTTGTGGTTGTTTTTTATTTGCTTTGTGTTGCGAGGGTCCCAAATGATGCAAGGTTTCCTCCATCCATGGGCTCAATCCCGAAGCCTAAGACCCCACAACGCCTAAAAATTAACTTTCCCCTCATGATAGTTTCCCTTCTAAAGCTACAGTGCTCATGAATCATCATCCCTGGAAAGTATACAGGCCCTGTCGCTCTTGCGACTAATGCCTCCTTAGACTACACCCTAGACCCCCAAAGCCTGCTGCTCATTGCCAGGTGGCGGCTGCAGCGCAGTGACCCTCTTAGCTCTTGGCGTGGCAGCTGCGCTCCAGCTGCAGCTAAATAGATGGTTGTCATCTTCCGAAACTGCTATTATCAGTGCTAGTAGTCATAGTCATGAGTACAAAAGCAGTAGAGCCGTATCCAGGCCCAGAGTGTCCCTAGCCTGAAGTTGAATGCGCCTTTCCTCAAGCTTGAGCGGGGTTCATCTTGCGTGTCTTGGAAACTCAGCAGCAGGACTGGTTGGTTAACCCTACAAACTGTTCAGGATCAAGATTTTTGGCAGCTGCACGGTCTTGCAAGTTCCACGACAGCATCTAGGTAGACAACGCCTCTCCGATTGGTTGAGATGTCGGGGCTCTCGTTGATGCCAGAGTAGGGTGCGACCTACCTTAGTATCCATTCATTGCACTAGATCTGCCTTCTTGCAGTAGCCTCGTGAAGAGCTTTTTCTAACAGAGCCTGAAAGCAGTAAACCTTGTGAAAGCCACTCCGCCTATTGACCTTATACCTTAAATAATCTCGTCATCCCATAGATCTGCAACCCATCATGCCCGTAATTTCTGTTGCAAAAAGTCAGGTGCAGAGCTTTGCAGTTTACAGTTTGTAGACTCCCATGGATGTTTGTAAATAATTCCCGCAAGAGGCCTTCTGCTTCATAGCGTTGGTACGGGGCGTGGCCATGCCCATATTCATGGCCTCGGAGAGCCAGCTGCTTGATTCCGCAATCGGGTAGTGGCTCAAGGCTTCGGCGTCGGGCAGTAGCAGTTACACTTTGGGGGTCAGGGTGTTGTAGAAACTTTCAGGTATTGATTTTGCATCCCCTCCCCAAAAACCAAGTGCTTGTCTTTGTGTTCGATGTGAATAGTATAGAGAGGTGCTTCTTGTTTCATAACAAGGGCAACGGACAGATTGCAAAAAGGCTACCTTATGCTCCCTGTAGAAATATGGCATTCCAAGATCCTAGTCGAATGGTTTAAGTTCCGTCAGCAGTTGTCATGAAAGAGGATAGTACCAGGTTAATTGGGCAGGGATGTCATGGGGGAGTTCTTGTTTCGGCTTGCAAAGACTATGCGGGGACTACAGCACATACCTAGACATCTTGATGCAGGTCATTATCAAGAAGTTTAGCTTGCAATGTTGTTGCATGTTCAAATAAGGACCTGCCCAAATAAACCTGGCATCAGAGCAGTGTTTCTTCATTCGGGCACCGGCCTCCAGAGTTGAGGAAAAGTTGTGTATTTTCTCTGTCAAGTCGGATCTGCAGTGGAAGCTTGAATTTGCTGGCTGCTATCATGCCAAAAACTTGCATTCAACCCCACAATCTTCAGGATCGAGCTTGCGGCTGTAAAGATGGACCACTGGCATTGCACGGAAAAAGCCGCTCGGACAGCAAATGGTGATGCCGACCAAAGCTTGCGGTGTTGGGTCGATGTCTTACAGCCGTTGTGGTTCTACTAACTTTGGTGATGTTGGGGACAAGCCGCCAAGCAGTCTGGTCACTCTAGGTGCGTGCCTAGAGGGCGGGCCTCTGCAGAAGCTCCTACACCTTGGCCCTAGCCTGCAGGACATGAAGCCCTAAATGCTGCTGTCCTCAAGAGATGACATTCGCGATGACAATGATGGTAGTGGCAAAAGCAAAAGAGAGCAGGGCTTGCACTCAAAGAGCTCAAAATGACACATTGCAAGCACGACTAACAAGAAGCATCACGTTTTACACTGTTTCTCCAGAGTCTTTCTTTATCTCTAGGATGCCCGAGCACGCCTCTAGGTGGTGAACATACCCAGCTGTCCTAAGGAGATGCAGGTACCTATGCAAATTCTGGATCGCTCGGGAGGCAAATTTGGTCCTTGGGACTTTGAAGCTTGGCAGTTGCCGCCATGCTTCTGTTTTTAAGGCTACAACTTCCCATTTGTTTGGCTGCATCTGTCCTGGTATGCATTCTTTAGGTAAGGCCGGCGACTATCATTAGCAATATCGGCATTCTTGCACATCATAGCTAGAGCCACAATCAGCATGAGCACGATTCCTCGCCTTTGGATGTTGTTGTCGTAGACAATGTTATAGGCTTTGCTTAAATAGGGTGTCTCCGAGCCATGTCACAGCAACTCCTGGCATCGTCACAGTTGACGATGCTGTATGTGTGCGTGCTTGAAAACTTAGGATTACTTGGAGGTCAAAACTGGCACCTACAAGAACATCGTCAAGCTACTTGGCACTTCTTCAAAACAGGGTCCCAGTTATCCTCCTACCAGCAGACGGCCTCCTATAAGGAGACCGGGGAAAGGCATGGCTCCACTCAGGGAAGAAACCAGGCACAGGGCATTTTTGCTGGTGGTAATCTAGCACCGTCTCGTGAGCGTACAAAGGTACGTGGACGTGGGGTCAGGACTTTGGGCCTGCGGGCGTGGCGTTTGACAGAGAGGGTGACGATGACGATACCGAGCTGAAGAGGGACTGAGGGGCGCCTGAGAGATCCAGCCAACAACCCTAAAGCGACGCTCCTGTCCAAAGACCTAGCATGTAACCTTGGCCCTGAGCCTTTCATAGGAGGGCCTCAAGATTTAGGGAGCCTGCAATGATAGGGGGTTTGCTAGTCCGCGTTTCACCAGCGAAACGAAACTTAGCTAGTTCAAGATGGAAGCCAGCTTAAAATTAGCCTCCTGAACCTGTGTGTAAGGGTTACCCTCCTTAATCACAAAAGACCACAGGTGCAGGGGGCCATACACTCCGCTTTCTAGTATCATGGTGGCCATGCTCGGATCTTTCCGGTACGAAAACAGAGGAACCCCAGAAGTATTGGTCTTTGTGGTGGGGACCGTATAGGCAAGGCCCAAGACGGGCATGGGGGGGAATCCCAGGGGTGGGCCTCAATGGCCTGCTCCATTACCTGCATGAGAGTGAGAGAGAGAGAGAACTAAGTAGTCCACGGGAAAACCAAAGTTGGGAGCGTATCTCACACCACTCCACATGCCGGGAAACACAGGGAAAGTGAGTACTCAGGTGGTGTAAGTGGGCCAGTAAGGGGGGAACTATACTCGTGGTGTTGCCAAGAGTGCAGCAGCATGGGAAAAGCAGGGTGTTCCCGGCAAATGTGAGGGGTAAGCAGGGCTGGCAAAATCACCTTGCAATACATGTGATGAAGGTGGTTGGTATTCGTAGGACGAATGCTGCCTAAGGAGAAGGTGAATCCAGCTGCAATCTTTTCACCACCCAGTTGAGCAGGGAGGTTCGCCACGTGGAAATGGAAGCTGGGAGAGAAATGCTCACATAATGCGATGTAGGGGTCGGGCTCCCATTTCCAATTACAGTGGCCACGCACTCCGATCCTCCTGGGCACCGACCATTGGAGTGACCGCGGGGCTCGGGGTTCGCCTCGGCGAGACCTTAGGGTCTCGCAAAGCCCGTAGAAGAAGAAGAAGAAGAGAGATACATATATATATATAGATATATATATATATACTATATATATGTAAATGCATTATAGGACTGCTCAGGGTGCAGGCTTGAAGTTTGGAATGCTGGGTCCCTCCTCTTGACGATAAACCTCCATCTTCCGAATCAAGGCGGCAAGGGCCTCTTTGGTAGGGCGACTGGTTCTGCGAACAAGCACCCGTAATTGCCACCAATCCTCCATGCACCACAGCAGTAATTGCACGCAACAGACTCTGCACGCAACAGAGCCAGCTTTCCAGCCCCAACGAAGCTGAAGCAACCTCAAGCAAAGGATCGGCGGTTCTTGCGGCTACAGATCCCGCACATCCCCCAAAACTCCAAGGCTCACAAGGAACGGCATCCCCAATTGCTAGGAAATACTCCATGAATGCTCAACACAGCAAGCCAATCGGAGCCGCACAGCGAAAACTTCACACGTACTGGAAGACCCTGGCCACGTCGTAAAACACCCTAAAGGCACCGTGCTCACCATGGGATCCCTTTCAATGATACTCTTGTGAAACTGGGCCTGTCTTTCAACTCTGAAGAGTCCAGGCTTCCCAGCTTTCAGTCGGGGGATTACCGCCTGCGAAAGATCAACGCCTGCTCCATGAACCCGATGGACGACTTCATCTACTGCGCCTGCCAGGTTGCCATGATGCCATGAACTGCCATGTGTTCGGTCAGGATTTTAAAAGGGTGGTTGAGGGGGTTGAGGCTCAGGCATTTAGATTGGGAGGGTTTCGGGATCATTCCTTCACTGCCACAAGACAGCCTATGGTCAGCTGGAGCGTGCTAAGAACGGATCGAGAACCCACGCACGGCCCACTCCTTGATCCTTCACGAAGCAGCGAGTCTAATCCGAGCACTTGTTTAGTTTGGGGAACCCCTCCCGCCAGAATAAGGAATGGAGGGAGCCAGATTGGAAGAATGATTGGGGCTCCTGGAACTCAATTACAAAAGAATAGGAATGCATTCCTGCATCATTGGGCTCTTGGACCTCTATTTATTGAAAATGAAGAGGAACGTGTTGAATATCTCTATCATCCGGAATGGTTCCTCAAATACTTCTTTAAATGTAGTCCTTTATGCCCATACGAAAGGCCCCCTAATTGTAGCTAGTTTTTGGACGCTAATTTTACTTCAACAAATCCTTTAAATGTGGACCCTTTAATAAAACTAGTGCTCGGATTAGGGGCAGGGACCAACGTCCCTATGCACCCCACCCCCAAAAAACAGTGCGGACAGGGCCTGAATGTAGAAACCCCTGACAATATCGTGTCTTCTTCACACCTTCATATTGTTTCCGAGTCTTGAGCCTTCATGCCTGTAGCGGAGTTGAGGTTAGCACATGCAACAGTTGTGAGGCTTTGCATTGTGTTGGGGAGGGACTTGTCACCTCTTGAGAATCCTTAGAAGAGAGATCCTCGTAATTTTGTGTTTTATCTTTGCTTTCCTCATCATGGGGGTCCTGTTGTAGGCTGGCACCATATCCCCAAAGTTTAACAAGGACTGCGGCCAAAGCACAGGAGCGTATGGGTTGTCTCAATTACTCATCGGGCGTTAGCTAAATGGGAATTTCCTGACCTACCCAAGCGCAACGATCTTTTTAGTCCAGGGCCACTGCTGCCTCCAGGTGGTCCATGCCAGCAATGAAAAGGACTACGACAATTTCCTGGTTCGTGTGGGCGTCGTGGATTACGACTCTTACCAGGCTTAGCCGTTCTGGTCACCGCCTCGTTGTCCCAAGCCTTGCTGGCACGAACTTCAAGAATTCCTTACCGCCCAGGTCTGACCTTCATGGGTCTTCTGTCCCCTGACATCCACCCACCCAACCCACAATACTAAATTTGCTAGGCATTCTCTATGACAGAATAGTATGTTTAATATTGGGGGACGGGGCGTGTCGAACATCAGGGCAAGGTGGTAAATCATCTCGAACTGGTGGCAACAGACTTATCGAGCCTGCAAAGAGATGACAGCCCCGGATTGCTGAGCCTCTTCCAGGTCGAAAGGGGTTAGGCTTGGTTTGAAAACGATGTCGGAGGAACCTTTATGCAAGATGTCACAGCAGGATAGGGGTGCTGTTGTGGTCTGGAGAGGAGTCAGCAAGAACCCAGTGCTTGCTTGCGCCGCAGCCCTGACTTGGCCAACCCTCCGGCTGACTCTCCGAACTCCAAACTCTCAACCCTTGAACCGCAAACCTTATGCCTTATGCCTGAGCCCTATCCAAGGAAACTCATGTTGCAGGAATGGAGTTCGTCGCCAAGGCAACCGTTGTTCACAGATCCCCATTCACAAGTTTCGGGTTTAAACAGAGTTTAGGTGTACTTGCTGCAGAGGTTAGAGCAGGTCAGAGAGCTTGGGATGCGAGGTTTAAAGAGCTTGGCGTGTGGAGTCTGGTGAGGGTTTCGGCTAGGCAGTTCCTTTGGGGTTGCAGCTTGACATACTGTTTGAGGGATCGACTGCCAAGGGGGTTCAAGGAAGGAGCATGAAGGTGCCCCGAGCCTTCAGCGATGCCAACGTGGTGCAGCGAATTTGGAAAAGACATTCACAGACGCACTCAACTACAAAGCTCCTGCAGATACAAACCGAGGCTAAGCACACAAACTTCGATACGAACCACGAAGAGCTACTGTATTGTTGGTAACTCAGTCCAGGAGCGGTGTTGGACTCTGTGTTAGACATGTCGTCCTGACTATTCCGTTGTGCCGGTGGGCTTTTCATTGTAAACCCAAGCCCTTAGCCGCCCGTGGGCAAGTTCACGCGACATAGAGACTTCAATTGCGTACTCAAACCGCAGCCTTCCCTTTATGGGATTCCAATCCATGCGAGCTATCATGGACATGGGCTTCCTCAAAGCAATGTACCAGTGCTAGACTAAGCTTCCCAAGCAAAGCACGCTTCTGACAGTTCCGTACAGAGATGAAAGATTTGAACGCAATACTTTGGATCCTAAACTTGAGGCTTTAAAGATAGAAGACCCATCCCCTCGCTCTAGGCCCTAAAACCTTGACTCTCGAGATTCCGGACCCAACTTCAGGTGGTGAAGGGTGGCAGCCATTTTGCCGGTGTCTTCGAGTCTAAGTCCTCATTTGGTAGTTTCTCAATGAATGTTGAGAGTTACCCTGACAGTATAGACTTGTTAACTTTTTCAATTTGGATGGCGTTGGTCCTAAATATCCGTGATGCAGATTCCTCTTGGTGTGCCCTGGCATTTGCAGCAGGTGTCGGATACAGAAATTCCTTGTCAGCCTAGAACATCATTTCTGTTTAGGATTGAGGCCTGAAGCGAAAGCCAGGATGTTGCAGCTGGGTTTCAAGGACTTTCCAATTTTAGAAGGCTTCGATGTGAAGTCTCACATTGTCAGAAACCCGTGGCCTCTAGGTACATGTTCTGGATACACTGCCAAAGCAGAAAGCTGCAACGGAGCCACGACAGGGAGGGCTTTAAGCTTGAACTCACACGCGTCTCAGCGCTCACACCTCTGCTCGCACCTCAGACCTGGGCGGTTCCTAAGCGGCGGAAAGCTGCTTCTGTCAACCTTGGGCAATGCATATTGGGGATTCCCATGGTCTGCCCTCAGCTTTCTATTTTTATGCTGCATACGTATCCCGTCCTGCCACGCGTCAAAAAAATGAGCCAGTTCAGGAGCGGCTGTTTGTTCTCAGGAACATTACAGTCTGGCAAGGAAAGGCTGCCTGAGCTTAAGTCAAAACCCTGAACCTACAACCTGTGGCAAGTGCATGCTACCTCAAAGTACATCGAACCCAACAAGTGGGAGTTAAGAACACTTCCAAGCGCTTGTGGTCTACCTACACAATCAGGACTTTCATGCTGCAATCTGCGTACCAGCTATGCTTGAGACACTCTCAGCCGAGGATGATGAGGGGCATTTCTTCTTCGGTCCTGGGCCCCTGGTCTTGCATACTGAATCTGCAGGGACTTACGGTTGGTTTTGGTGCGGTTGGTTTTGGTGCCAGTGTTGTAGTTTTTGCTGTGGTGGCTGTATTGGTGGTTCTGGCGGCGTTGGCGTACGGCTTTTCAGCACCCGCGAGATGCTAGAGATTGCTCATTCCAGGCATAAGGCATAAGGCTGAAGAGACATCACCTGCTTCGCTGCTTCTGTCTTATCTTTGGCTTACAGACCCTATGGTCATCCTGCCCAACACCCCAAAAGTCGAAGCCTGGTCCACGGCATCAAACACACCCATGTCCTAAACCCAAGGTGTCTAAACCGTCAGAACCTTACACCCCAAACCTATAGACAGCAGCTGAATAGCTTTCATGGGCATATACAGAGACTGCGCGGAAACGGTCCATCATAGAAGCTGCATTCAATTCCTAAGAAATTAATGAGCATAGATCTTGTGGGCTTGGATTTCCAACCAATGTGAGAAGGGACAATGTGCTTTCCACAGCTTTTCCATTGCCATCATATCGGAAACAGGTAGAGTGGCCACCTGCAAGTAAAGGAGACTTGAGACAAAGTTGGATACTTGGCAGGTCTGGAAGGGAACTCATGCTGGATTGATGTTGCAGGGCTCTTGGCTTGCACGCCAGGTTCCCCAACCACCCCGGCTCTCAAGCTTGAATGCTGGTACGATATAGGCTTTGATTGACTCAAGGAACTTGTTTGATACTTCGTGAAACCCACGGTGCCTGAACTCAGTCCCCGACAACGAAATTCTTCACACCTCAGTTTGACTAGAGAATTTCAGTCCATGTTTCAACCATTACTATCAAGCCTCTGCACCCGGTCTTTGCACCCGGAAAGGATGACTTCAAGCTTGACAGCTTACTTTCTGGATACATTCCACTCAGGAAGCTGCACTACATCAAGTCGCTGCATAAGAACCCAGGGAAGTCTTTCGACAACAGGCCTTCTCTGGGGTTGAGGGCTTGCGGTTGAAGGAGAAGGCCGGGACTTATATGAAGACCCCACGGTAGTACCTGTTACGAATAGCTAGCCTTCTTTCCGCTTTAAGTGCCACTGATTCGAACATGTCTTGGAGTGTCAGGGATTGGTTTGTGGACGGGCAAGGAATGAACACAGGTGAGTTGCACTTGGATTCCTGAACATAGTCTCTTTTGCAAGCATCCCATATCCTGTACGGAAGACGAACTAGATACCTAGGCAAGTAAGTCAGTAAGTGATTACATCAAACAGGTCTAGGTGCATTTTGGGCTTCAAGCTTGATGTGCTTGCGGTGTAAGGATGCGTTTTTCAAGTTACCAGTCTGCTTATGGAGCTAAGGACAAGTAGTTTGGGGTTCAGGGTGTTGATGAGGGCTTAGGGCGTTTCAAAGTTATGGTTCCCCTGCCATGTGGAACCCGAAGAAATGCTGGAAGAAATGCTGGATAAATGGAATGTCCGTATGCCCTAACCTGGCTAACCCTGCACCACACGACAAAATCACTCCATGTTCCGGGCTTGCCAAAGTGTCTCGAGACACAGAGCATAACGAGGGTCTCCTCGATAGGATGTGCTCTTCTGGCAGTTATGGAGCTTATGAAGAAATCAGGTAGGAGTTGCATGAGGATATGTCAGGTTGAGGGTACGTAGGCCTACAGGTTGTTGGGGAGTGTTTCGTTGTAGAAATAGAGATTACCTACATATTGTGCAGAAACTCACACATTGTCGGGCCAGTACACGCTCACCATTCCTATGAAACTCCTTCGTGCGAAGCTGCAGGAAGATGAAAGGAATCTGCGCGGACAAGAATTTTGTTGTTTCTGGGTGGCTTAGGCAAAGTCGGCAGAACCTTTTCGATCATAATCTGGATATTTCTCAAGCCAACTAAACCAGCTTCTATAGCTGAAATTAGAACGACCTCCGCTGAAAGCAGGGGGCTATGATTCGAAAAGTCCAAATGCGAGAGGTACCAGGTGGTCGACGAAACCAAGGCGCCGAAGTGGAAAGTGCCACAGAGCCTCGCCAGCAATGCTCAGCCCAAAACTCAAAAAGCAATCCCAAAAAGCAGCTTCCGGTGTATGGACTCGGGTTTCAGGTAGGAGTCGAGTTTGGGCTAAGCCCAGTTCCTAAGCCCAGCTGGAGGTTTGGAAGTGGAGGTTCTGAGCTTAGGCTATATCCCGACGCCTTGAACCCCAAACCCTTATGCTGGTCACAAGGGAATCCTAGAGACACGTTTTGACGGCATGAGCCATCCTAGGTTAAAGAGTTTTCAGGAGCCTCGTGAGTCCTGCTTCTTGTTTGATCACGAAACATCCACTCCCAGAGTTCATAATTTCGTGCAGAAGGTGTTAGGATCTGCAGGGTCTGGACGTGGGGAAAGTGTTGGCTTCATCTAACCCTGCTCCTGACACGCGTAGCTTCATGGACCCGAAGGGGATCCCCATGTGCTTGTTGGATGGCGCCTGAAAGGTTCCCAACTTGGGAAGCGTCGGCGTGCTTCTGTCCTTGGGCAACTCAGGGCCGTCAATCCCGAATCCCAGACCTGCAGAATCCCCTGCACTGAGGGCATGTCCCAAGCCATGGTTTGGGGCCATGGGTCTCAAGTTCAAGCGCTTGTGAAGATTTGTTTGTTGCTATTCCTGTTTTGGTTGTTCTATGCACAACCAGAGCTGCTAAACCTTAAACCCTAAACTCCAAACCCTAAGCCGTGTCCTGGCAGAAGGAGTTGCAAGGGGGCGGACTATGCCTTCTACCGGCATGAAGATGGTGGCAAAGCCAGGCCGGAGCAGGGCTCAAGGAACTTCAGTACAGGGAATATATATGGGGATCGTCCAAAAACCCATGTTTAAAAATCTATAAGCACGGGGA